CGCGCCTCGGCCTCGGCCTCGCCAACACCCGCCGCCCCAGGCCCGGCCCCGCGCCCGTCCGCGCCCCTCGTTACCTTTCCGCCGGAAGAAGGACATGGCGGGGCCCGGGTCGGGGCGGAGTGCGCGTGGGGACTGGCGCGGAGAGGGCCCGGCTCCCCTCATTCAGCAACCGGCCCGGACTTCCGGGTCCGCAGCGGCCGCCGCGCTAGGCCGAAAAGAGACCCGTCTTCCGGGTGTGGGCCCCGCCGCCTCCTGGAGACGTGCCGGTAGCTCCCGCCGCCATGTTAACAACAAGCCGCCCGCCCGGAGTTCCGGTCCTTCCCCGCGCGGGGCTTCACGGGAGGCCGCGCGCCGACCCCGCCCCCTCCCGCGGCGGGGCGCGCCCGCGCCGCCCACGTGACGCGCGCGCGCAGCCTGCGCTCGGCCCAGGATCCCGTGTCTCTCGCGGGCTGGGACTGCGCGGGCGCTGCCCGAGCCGAGCCAACACTCCCGGAAGCGGGCCCCCTGCCACGGCCAAGTGTGGCCAGGGCACTGGCGGCCAGAGCACTGGCGGCCAGAGCGGCCGCACCCCCGCTCTCCCAGCGAGCGGACCCCGGAGCGGGCCTCGAGATGCGGGCCAGGTCCCGGGATGCGGACTCCGGGCACCACCTGCTCTGTGCTGCTCCGCGGTCCCCGCGACCTCAGCCGTGGAGGAGGAAAGTGGGCCTACTACAGGACGCGATCCCTGCGAACGCTCAGCTCTGACAGGGCAGCGACATAAAAGCCTCGCCATTATTTACCGGGCGGAGTCCAGTGGGTCATCCTTCCAGCCTCGTTCAAATGCCATTTTCCTGTGAACCTCTGACCTCCCTCGCCCCTAAAGCAGAGTGGCCAGCCTCCCACCCGTGGGGCCACTCCCACAGGACTGCGTAATCCCTGTACCTGGGCGCTCCTCCCGGGGAGGAGCCTGTAAGATCAATAAATGGGTTTTTCAAATCTGACGTCGATCAGGTGACGGACGGAGCAGCAGAGGTCCAGAGAGAAGGGGCAACTGGTCCCAGATTATTCAGCGTGTCTGTGTTGAGACTGTAACCAGAACCCGGGGTCTTTTCACCATACAATCAGAGCAGGTTGATAGATTTGTCTGGGTTCGGGGCATGTAAGGTAATCACAGCTGATGCATATTGAAAGTTCTCTGAGCGCGGGTGCCAAACACTCCAGATTGATGATGGTCCTTGGGGGTGATCTTGGTATGGTGGAAACCGGACACACAAACATAACCTGCCCAAGGTCACGTCCTAACTGGAGGCGAAGCCTGGACCTCAGAGTCGGCTCCAGAGCCAAGATCTAGCCTCGCTCTGGGTCGGGAGAGTGGCCGGGCGGGAACAGGAGACTGGCCGCGGCTGTGGATGCCCAAGTGTGTCCCCGACCTGAGCAGGTGCTGGGAATGGACCCCTGTCTGACGGTGGAGGCTGCAGCGGGTCCGAGCGGCTTCCCCGGGTCAGCAGTGCGCTGACACCAGCCTGGCTCAGGGGGACCACGCTCTGGGGTCTGTGGCCGGTGAAACCCCGGATGCTGCCCCTGCTCCTTGGAAAGGGAGATGGGGCTGACGTCCAGGGCGAGCGGGGCTGGGGTGGGTCTCGGTGGGTTCCCACTGGGTCGGTGTAAGGGGTAAGGGGCATCTAGCGGGGACCTGAGCGCGGGGCGGCTACCCTCCAAGCTAGAAGGCGGCGCCCTCTCTTCAGAGTCCACAACCCCTTGGCAGGGCTGTTTCGTGTTTGTTGACTGGTTGATTGGTTGGAACGAATGGGACGGGACGGAGGAGTGCAAGACAAGCCCCGAACATCTCCGGGACGGGAGCAGCGCACAAGGGGTGCGGGGGGGAAGCACTCCAGTCCCTCTAAATCTCCTTCCACTTTTCTTCAACTACGCAAAGAATCAACTTAAAAGCAGGGTCCTATCGCCCCTTCCAGTGTGATCTCTGTTCCAGAGCCCCTCCTAGCAGAAATTCTGCAGCTGCCTTTATTCCCGAGACAGCTAAATGCATCCCAGTCAGCTAATAATAGCCGTCATTATTTATACAGTACTTATCACATGCTCTCAAGGGACTGAATGATTTATAACCACAATCTTAGGTAATCCTTCACCTTCTCCCCCACAAAAGCCCTTGTGAGGTGGCTACCATCATTACCCCCAATTTACAGTTGATGACTCTGAGGCTCAGGGTAACTTACCCAGGATCACAAAGCTTAGTAAGGGGTAGGGACAGGATTTCAGTCACCATCAGTCTGACTTCAAGGCCATTTGCTTGAACCACTTGCTCCTGTCTTTCCCTCCACCTGCTGCTAATCCCCATTTATCCCATGTTCCAGCATGAGATGTCTATTTATTGGGCAAGAATGAGGGGATGAGAGATAGTTTAGCAGTGCAGACTCCTGAATCACCACCTGTTAAAGTGTTTATATGTTTAGGGAAGCTTTAAGAGAATTATCATTTAATCTTTTGGAATGTGATAATCCACATATGAATAGAGGTAAAATAAAACAACAATTTCAAAATAAGAAGATTCCATTAGCCTGAATACCCAGTTGTGACAAATTGACACTTTGCATTGCATTTCTAATTTGTTAGAGCCACTTTAATTTACACGTAAAACAAATTTAATTTTTGTGAAACAAAATTAGTTTTTACCAGAAGGAATTTCTTTCATTATGTTCCTAATTTTAAGAGAATCCTCACAGGCTTTTTCTACCAGTTGTATTAATTACAACAAATCAGTGAGGTAAAATCAGCAAGTTAATTATCACAAAGCCAGTGAATAAAATTAATCTACGACAAATACGATTTACAAATCAAATGAATGGTGTTCTACAACAAATATTCGAACACATGTTAGTTTTCTATATCGAACATTCATAACATCAAGGAAACTATTCAAACAAATTGTTTGGTATTATAGGAAAAGAAAGCTCCTTGTACTTTTTAAAAAATTTTATTTATTTGTTTTTAGTTTTGACTGTGTTGTGTCTTTGTTGCTGTGCGCGGGCTTTCTCTAGTTGCAGTGGTGAGGGGGGGCCTACTCTTCGCTGCAGTGCGCAGGCTTCTCATTGTGTGGCTTCTTTTGTTGCAGAGCACGGGCTCTAGGTGCCCCGGTTTCAGTAGTTGTGGTGCATGGACTTAGTTGCTTCTCAGCATATGGGATCTCGCTGGGCCAGGTCTCGAACCCATGCCCCGTGCGTTGGCAGACGGCTTTTTAACCACTGCGCCACCAGGGAAGCCCTCCTTGTACCTTTTTAATAAGCAGATAAAAACTCAGATTTTTAACAAAATTCAGAATATATATTCATATAACTTAAAATTCTCAACTGTCTAACAAAGGCTAATTCATAACCCAGTGTTTTACATTATCAAAAGCATTTGTATCAATAGCTCTGTAAAATTTATCTCTAAAAAAATTGTGGCCTCTGATTTTAGTTTTAATCAAAGGTGAATCAAAGCAATTTGGGCTTAACAAAATTTATTTCTTCTGTAATCTCTATATCATGCCAAGTAAATGGGAGTTTAGCGCACATTTTTCCCATCGAAGGAACCCAAAACCAGTAGTCAGGAAATTATAACAATAATAATCTCTTACATTTGCATAACAGAGACTTTCACTTCTAATAACAGTGGAACAGGTAATTGGGACCAGCCAGCCACCTGCTGAGGAAAGCTGAAAAGGGTGAACAAAATATTAAAAGACATTGAAGAAATAAGAAGGTAATAAAGAATTACCAGGTGAAGATAGAGAAGAAAAACAAAATCCAGTGAATTATGTCCTGCATTTGGGGCCTCCTGTTCTGGGGAGCATCCACTGTTCGTGGAAAAGAGACTGAGCAGCTGAGTGATGCTTTTGACAGCACCACCGACTAAAAGGACAGAAGTTGGAGCCCAGGGCCTGCTTTGGGTTGGGATTCTGAAAAATCTGCACCAGCCCTTGCCAGGATGCAACCCAGCTTCAAGTCATCTGTGTGACTCAGGAAACCTTAATCCCTAACAGTAAATTAAGAAAATCCTGATTGCTAGTTATCCAGGTGCCTGATAGAAGCAAATGCAAATCCTCTTGGAATAAGATACTAACATTCAAATTCTCAAATTATTTCCACAAACAATTTTTCAAAAACAATGCCTAACACACAATCACACATGTCAGACACATGAAGAGATAATATGTCAGGAACAAGAGCCAAGAGAAGTGGCGGGTAATAGAATAGTCATACCAGAGCGCCAGGTAGTGGAGTTATTGGACATAGATTTTAACATAATGCTGCTTACTATGGTCAAGGATATAAAAAACAACTGGAAATTTGGGTAGAGAACTGGAAACTATAAGAACTGACAGAGTATATACGAAAAGGAAGCAACTAGACATTCTAGAACTGAAACACAAAATAACTAGATAGATCTGTAAACTGAGTTACAGCTAAAGAGAGAATTTGTGAAAAGATGAGTCAGAAGAAAATATCCGGAATGAAGCATGTAGTGAAGTTTAGAGAAATAGAGAATACAGTGAGAAAGTTTACCATATGTTTGATCAAAGTCCCAGAAGAGAAGAGAGAGAATGTAGCAGAGGAAATATTTGAAAAATTAATGGCTGATAATTGTCCTGAAGTGATGACAAAAACCAACCTACCAGTTCAGGAAGGATTATGGACTCCTCACAAAAATAAAGAAAAGGAAATACACACCTAGATTATTAATAATGAAACTTGAGGAAACAAAGAAAAATGATCGAACATTGCTGAGGTGGGGGAAATAGATTACCTTCAAAGGAATGACACTTTGGCTGCTGAGTTTTTTCAACAGGTACAATGGAAGCCAGAAGACTGTGGAATTAAATCTTCAATGTGCTGGTAAAAGTAACTACAAACCTCATCAAAAATATATTTCAAAGATGATACAAAATAAGACATTTTCAGACAAAAACAGGAAAAAATTGTCACCAGCAGAACTTACTAAAGGATACTCTAAAGAATTTGCTACAGGCCAAGGGAAAGTGATATCAGATGGAAAGTCTGATATGCAAGACATTATAAAGAGCAAAGAAAGTGGTAAATATATAGACAATTGTAAATAAACATTTAATAACATTGTGAAAGTAACCAACTGCGAAGTGAGGGGGCACAGTCCACATAAGATCACCCTAATTTATGACACCAAATACAAGTTTGGGGGGCCCCAAGACCACCCTTAGGTTTGATAATTTGCCAGAAGGACTTGCAAAACTCACTGAGAGCTGTTATATACTCACAGTTATAGCTTGTTACCGCTAAAGGATACAGATTAGAATCAGCCTAGGGAAGAAATACCAAGGGCAGAATCCAGGGAGGTGCCAAACACAGAGTTCCCAGTTGTCCTCTCCCCGTGGAGTCTGGACAGCATTACTTCCAGGCATTGATTTGTAACGGTATTCATGGAGGATTGCCAACCAGGGGAGCTTACCCAAGCCTCAGTGTGTAAAGATTTTTTGGGGCGGGGCAGGGTGCCATCAAATAAGCATGGTTAACTGCCCTTGTGGCTGATCTCAGTCTCCTGGCCCTCAAGAGGTCACACCCAATAGCTATCGCATGACCCAAAGCCCCCATCCCAAATCACATTGTTATTATATGGCTGGCCCAAGGCCAAACAAAACAAAACACTCCTATCAGACATGACATTCTAAGGGCAAGACATAACTTTCCTGCAGCCCATGGCTAAGGCCAGACTCCCCTTTGGGCAAGTTAAATTGTTTTCTACACAAACATCTAACAGGTTTAAAATTTTCACCAATGTGGCAGGCCCCTGAATCTCTAGGGCTTATATCCCACCTTCTGGCATGTATGTGTCTTACCAGGGCATCTAGAATACCTGCTGTTTTTTGCTCACTGGGTCTAGGTAGCATGATGTCATCAATATATTGCCCCAGTGTCATGTTCTGCAGAACATCCAGATGATGAAGGATTCTTCAGACCTGCTCTGTCCAACATGGTAGCCACTAGATACATGTAGCTATTCAGCACTTGAAATATGGGTAATTGAATTAAGATGTGCTGTATGTGTAAAATATACACCAGATACCAAAGACTTGGTATGAAAAAATAATTTAACACAGCTCACTAATATTTTATATTGATTCCATATTGAAAAGATAATATTTTAGATATGTTGGGCTAAGTAAATATAGGTATTATTAATTTCACTTGTTGCTTTTTGAACTATTTTTAGTGTGGTTACTGTGAAAATTAATAATTAATAAAAGGAAACCTCAACTAAAATTGGAGTTGAGAAGGCCTGTAGAGGGAGGTCTCCCACCCTACCCCTCACCATTAATTACCCCAACAGGAAGACATCAGTTACTGACGGGGAGATGGAGAGAGGTACCTTACACCCCTGAACAGGAAGTGCCACTGCTCTACTACCACAGAGGGTGGAAGGAAGGCTTTCTTCTCACCCAGCAACAAGCCCAGCCAATGGAAAACACCACAGCTCAGCCAATGAGAAGCTGTCATCATTGGGACTTTGTTTCCTCCAGTGAACTTTCATTTTTTCCTTGCAGATTTGGTGTCTTGTGAGAGCCCAATTCCTGATTCATAAATGGCTGTCTTCTCTCTGTGCCCTCACAAGGCAGATGGCACAAGAGATCTCTCTGGGGTCTTCTTTACAGAGGCACTGATCCCAGTCACGGGGGCTCTCGGATGACCTAATCACCCCCAAAGTCCCTATCTCCTGATAGCATCACACTGGGGGTTGGGATTTCAACATGTGAACTTGGGTGGACACAAACATTCAGTCCATGACACTGCCCATCAATCTCCCTCCAGGGACATAATCATCATTAGATCAGCCATTCCACATATCCTGAGGGTCAAGTCACCCTCTGGCACATTTCCCACCTTGGGTATGGCAATTATATTCACCATGTCTCTGACAGTTTAGGGCTGTCACATGGGCTCTGCTATTCTGGAGTCCTGTTATGACCCTTGACAGTAGGGAACACAGTTCCATAGCAGCATCTCCTCCCCTAAGTCCTGGGCCACCATTCAGGTTCTCACGACCCAGTGGCCTTCTCACTAATTCATTCCTTCTTGTTTCAGAGAAGGGAGTGACCGCTGGGACTTCCCAGGAAACACAGTCAGCTGATGGAGCCTCTGGCAGGACACAGGACATTCTGACTCCCCACCTCTCTCACCTAGGATTGTCAGCCCTCTGGCATGTCCAACCTGCTCCAGGCACAGGCCAGCTGCTAAAGGAAGACCACACACAAAGAGTCACAGGTGTTTGCAGTAAAGCTGTCAGGTTTCAGTGCCCAGGGGATGTGGGCCAGGGACAGAGAGTGTCTGCTGGGTTACTCTAGTTCCCACTTGGGGGCTGAGAAAATAACCACAGGGTGGGTCTGAAGACTCCCTAGGCCCACTGTTAGCTAAACTAGAGCTAGGACTAGTTATCATCTGACCTCCATAGACCTTCATTCTAAACACAGGAGCATGTGATGTTTTGAGTTTTTGGGTTTCAGTCAGTCTTATCACAGATCCCATATCACAAAGTCCTTGGAAATTCTGGTGTTCTCCCTTCCTTGGTGCATAGATACACTGGAAAATTACCTCAAGTCTCTCTGGGGGGATGATTGGGGAAATATTTGCTATATATAGGTATGGTGGTGTTGCAAGGCCCTTCCTTAAGGAGAGCTGACTTCTCTATCAAACAATGAGTGTTGAGCCTGTAAACTGACTTATACCTGGAAACTTGGGAGGGAACGTGATTTTCCATTAGGACAGCTGACATCAGCCTTCTGCTCATGAGCTCTTGATTTTTTTTAAATTATATAAGTCAGCGTGTCCTAGTTGGTTGTCCATCTTTCTCCCCACTAGGAACACAGTGACCCACTAGTGACCCCATAGCCACTGCCCCAGACCCCTGTGGGTTAAGGAGACCTGAGAGCTGGTCCAGCCTAGTTTTCTGGCAAAATAATTACACTCGCCTTCCTTTGATATTTCAGTGCAGTCACCTGGCCTCCTCTTCCTGTTTATGGCCACCTCTCACTGGCCACACTAGCCGACAGAGCACTGCCACCGTTAAGCATCTCAGGCCAGTGGCCTTAATAGAGGCTGTGTCCTTCTCACACAGTAAATCAATTCCAACATTTCCACCTCCTTAGCCCTTCTCACCTTTCCTCAAGACTATGTCAGCCCCCATCTCTCTAGGCCAAGTTCCATCCCAACAGTCTATTTGGAACAGCCCTGGATGCTCCTGCTGTACCACTGGATCTTGACTTTCAGGCAAAGGCCCCCAAGGGGGAAAACACTCCCTTTATCCAGGCTTATATTCCACCTGTTCCCCAGTCCGACAGCTTCAAAACCCTCCCATGTGACCCCGGTCTCTGCCCAGGTGCAGTGGCCCCCACAAGTCCTTTGGCACGTGTGCTGTTTCCTCTCATCAGAGCGGGGATGGCTGTGTGGAGACCTGGCCTTGGCTGTTTGCTTTGAGGCCATCAGGAGTGGAGGGCAGATCTCCAGCAGAACCAGAGGCACCTTGCAGAGCACCTGCCTCCCCTGAGGTCGTGGTCCCACCTCCTCTGGAGGGGAGAGGGGTCTCGAGGAGTCTGCAAGTTCAGCTGCTCAGGGGTATCCTCTCAAATGCCCCCATTTCACAGGTCGGATTCCACGCCTGCCCATCAGGTGGGGTCCCATTGGGACCACACACTCTTTTTCAGCTCTGCCACTCCTGCAGTTAGACCGTGGGCCTGCTCTGCAGCAGAGTCCATCCTGCAATTGTTCCTTACAAGGGGTTGGTGGCTTTCACGGTGTGACCCGAGTTGGCAATTAGCCACCCTGAGCCCCCCACCCCTTCCATTTTTCAACTGGCAGCCAGGCCACCGCATGGTCATTACAGGTATTACTGACACGGGACACTAAGTGCCTCAGCTACACCTATGGCCACAGGTGAAAGCCTGAGTAATCTTGCTGCCTGGGGCTCCCTGCTCGCTGGCGGTTACTGGCACCTCCACTCCCCAACAGCAACAGTGCCTTTTTTTTTTTTACTTGAAGTCTAGTTGATTTACAATGTTGTGTTAATTTCTGCTGTACAGCAAAGTGATTCAGTTGTACATATATATACATTTTTAAAATATTCTTTTCCATGATGGTTTTATCTCAGGATATTGAATATAGTTCCCTGTGCTATACAGTAGGACCTTATTGTTTATAACAGTGCTTTTATTGCTGTTATACTGGTGAATATCCTAACTCCCAAATTTCAACCACAGAAAGCAAAGCCTGCAGCAGAGGGCTCCCAGCAGGGCTGCATTAAGGGTGCCTTCACGGGGGGAGGGAAGAGGGGAAGGGGGCGGAGCCAGTGGGAGCCGGTGTTACCGAGTGGGCTGCCCGTGAGTGGGCAGGACCGCCGGGTCCGTGGGACTGCGTCCGGGGAAGTGTACAAACTGCGCCCACCGGCTCCCAGCCCGCACTCGTCGGGGATTCACCCCACAGGGCGTCGAGTCTCCTGCGCTTCAGCGCTGGGGTACAGACCTCAGGGCGCGGTCAGTATGGGAGCCCCGGAGCCGGGGAGGGAGGCACAGCGCGGGGCGGGAGGTGAGGTGCTGTCCCGTTACCCCTGCGCGAAGCCGTTCGGAGTCCGTGCAGAGCTGGCAGCAGAGCCAGCTGAGACCGAGAAGGTCCGGAATGGCCCAAGTCAGAGATCAGAAGAAGCAGTGGGCAAACACCACGAGCTTCACACCCCCGCCCACCACCCCACCCCAGACCGGCAAGTTCAGAGCAGCCAGGAGTGCAGCCGAAGGGATGGGTTTGTAGGGTCGCAAAGGTGCACGGATTCCAGGGCATCTGTGGAGCCTGGAGGTTTGACTGCCCATTTCTTTAACGTGCTAATTTAAGGTGAGAATTTCAGCTATCATTTTTTAATTGCAGTATAGTTAATTGGCAATGTTGTGTTGGTGTCAAACATAGAGCAAAGTGATTCAGTTATATATATTCTTTTTCAGGGTCTTTTCCCTTATAGGTTATTACAAGATATTGAGTGTAGTTCCCTGTGCTACACAGTAGGTCCTTGTTGTTTACCTATTTTATATATAGTAGTGTGTATATATTAATTCCAAATTCCCAATTGATCTCCCCCCCTCCCCTGCTATCACCTTTGGTAACCATAAGTTTGTTTTCTTTGTCTGTGAGTCTATTTCTGTTCTGTAAATAAGTTCATTTGTATCATTTTCTTTAGATTCCACATATCAGTGATATCATATGATATTTGTCTTTCTCTGACATACTTTGCTTAATATGATAATCTCTAGGTCTATCCATCTTTCAGCTATCATTTTTGAGCACCTACCAGACATACTTTTAGAAACCTTAATTCCCATAAGAGGTCTCATTTTGCAGATGAAAAAGAGTCTCAGGTGGGCTCTGATTTAACCAGTCTGCCTGACTCTAGTGACTAGGGTGTAGGCTGGATATTTAACCTCATATTGTTTTGTCTCCCTTCCCCCTAAAGGAGACTAGCGAGCCCGAACCTTTATCGTCGGTCCTCTTGTCCCCTCCTTTAATTGCCTGTGTACAATACCATCAAACTCATTCATTTAAAATGAATTTGGGTGGCATCTGTCCCAAAATGAATTTGGGTGGCATCTGTTACTATGGGGATCCATCCTGAGATGCTTAGTATCTAGACGAAAAGCTAGAGATGAGAGACTAACATTTGCTGAGTGCGTGCTGAACGCCAGATATTGTCCAAGGGACTTTTTATTTGATTAAAGTAATGGTGCATTTAATTCTCACAGCAGCTTGCGATCTTAGGTGTTATTATTTGCCTCATTTTGCAAATGAGCAAATGAGTCTTCAGAGAGGGCAAATGAATTGCCTAAAACGTTTCGGCTAAAAAGGCAGAGCCAAGGATTGGAACACGGTTTCCTCTGCCTCTAAAGCCCTCTTTCTTTGTGCCATGCTGCGTAAAGGGCTGGTTTGTCAAATCTGATGACCCATTTCATTTGAAAATAATAACCAGGTTTTGCACAGGTGTCTTTTTGAGAATGTGAAGTGGCTGAATGATTTTCAGTTCCTGATTCTCTTTGCCCTGACTTAGGGGACTCAGAAAGCAAGTGTGATACCCGGGTCTGCAGCAGAAACGCAGACGTCCCCAGACAGCTTTTGTCTGTAAGCCGAGCAGAGCCACAAGCAGAGGCCAGAACCTGCCCGAACTGGGATTCCTCAGACCGAGGTGCTGAAGGATGAACTTTCCACCCAAAGACTACTCAAGCCTGCACGTGCTTTTGGGCACAGGTGTTTGTAAGAATTTTTTATAACAGATGAATGTGTAGAGAAACTGAGCCTTGCCCTCGGTGTTGTCAGACAAGTCGACCCTGTAGCCAAGCAGAGAAAACAGCTAGCAGCTGGGTCTTGTGCAAACCGTCTTTGCACAGGCTTCTGGAACCCGTCTAGCTAATTGTGCCGTGAGGGAGCTGGCAAGGCCGGAGTTGTCCCCCTTCCGATGTGAGAGAAGACGGATGGTGAGGCCATATTCCCAGAAGGAGGGAGGCCCTGTTCTGGGGATGGTCTGTGTATACGGGGCCAATGGGGATCTCCTGTCTGGTGTTTCCTCACTGCAGCTGCAGGACTAGGTGAGTCCATCTCTTAACCGTTGTCTCCACCGGGTTATCCAGGAAGACTGACTCCACCAGTTCCTAAATGTTCCGTTCCTCAGTGTTATGTCTTACCAGAAAGAATGTAGGTCTGGGAACAGTGATTTGGATATCTACCCCAACCCAATATTTGTTCTTGCGTAAAGTACTTACAGTTGATGAGTGGCATCTGTAAAGTGGAAATATCACCTACCTCTTGGGGGTGGTTGTGCATTTAAGGATAATATATTGGAACAGATAACTAATGAGAACCTACTGTATAGCTCAGGGAACTCAATGCTCTGTGGTGACCTACATGGGAAAATCCAAAAAAAGAGGGGATATATGTATCTGTATAGCTGATTCACTTTGCTGTACAGTAGAAACTAACAAAACTTGGTAAAGTCACCATATACTCCAATAAAAATTAATTTTAAAAATAAAGATAATGTACTAGAAGTGCCTAGAACAGAGTTGAGCCTGTAGCAGTCACTCAACAGGCAGTAGCTGCTACAGCCATTACTGTTGCAATGGTTCTGTTGCTTTCGTTATTTATTTATTCTTATAAACCTATTTATTTTATTTATTCTTGGCTGGGTTGGGTCTTCGTTGCTGCATGTGCGCTCTTTCTCTAGTTGCGGCGAGCGGGGGCTACTCTTCGTTGCGGTGCGTGGGCTTCTCATTGCAGTGGCTTGTCTTGCTTTGGAGCACGGGCTCTAGGCACATGGGCTTCAGTGGTTGTGGCTCGCGGGCTCAGTAGTTGTGGCACACGGGCTTAGTTGCTCTGCAGCATGTGGGATCTTCCCGGGCCAGGGCTCGAACCCATGTCCCCTGCGTTGGCAGGCGGATTCTCAACCACTGAGCCACCAGGGAAGCCAGCTTTTGTTATTTATTTATGTTGAAAGTCTAGGCCCTGTTCTAGGCCCTGGGGTGTGAAAAGGACCTCATTAGGACACTCACAGGAATTCAGGACAACTGGGGGCAGAGTCCGTGGCCCCCAGGAAGGGACCATCAATACAGGTGCCCTGTTTTGGAGGAAGGTCAGGAAGGTCTGGTGGCTTCACTCTACCAACCTTTGGCTGCCTGCTTGATTACCATCCCTGTCCCCCTGAGATTCGTGCTCTGGCTTCTGGAATGTCACCCCTCCTGTGCAGGTGCCAGCAGTGCTGCCATGGCACAGCTCCAGAGGGAGGAGTCCACCTGCTCCAGTGGCTCATTTACATAGGCTGCCAGGTGCTATGATCACCCAGTCTGGAGGGGGTGGGAGAGACAGATACGGCTGCTCTTGGGGTTGCAGAGGGAGTCTCTGTTCTAACTGTTCTGAGAATGGAACCTGTGGCTGAAGGGTGTGAGGGGAGAAACACCTGCAGAGCAGCGGGACTTGAGGAAGCCGAGGAGGAAATCCCTGGGCAGGTTTCAGACGACGGTTGTGAGAAGGGAGCACAAACCCACATGCTCCCAGCATCACACAATATAAATATTGCAGAGTCTACTGGGGACAAAGCCCAGAAGCAGAGATGTGTCAGGCACACGGTCATGGCCCAGGCAGCTCAAGCCCCCAGGGATGAACCTGCCATCTGACAAAATCAGGCCATTACCTCCTGCAAGGAGGGACTGCACACTTGAGCACCCACAGGGAGGACTCAGCAAACAAGGGACAGCATAGTTATTCTGGGATTTGCAGGAAGGGTGGCGTGTTGGTGACATCTAGACAGAGCCGTGTTTTGATGGGCTCAGAACAAAGCAGGGTCAACACTGGGTCTGGACCTAGAGCCTTGTTTCTTCTGAAACAACACATTTCATATAGTTGGGGGTTCTCGTTCCATATCAGAGGGTAAGGATGGGTATTAGGGGCAACTAACAGTGGAAGAACCCAGATTCAGAATGCAGCTGTCTGACCCCAAAACCAGCGCTCTCAGCCTTGGCCATTCATTTAATCCCATCTGTAGACCCAGAAATGTCTTCATTCCTGCAATGGCTCCCTGTGTATATGCAGCTAATGTCACATGCAGGAATATGCCTCCATATGAAAAAAGTGTATTTATATTTGAAATTGAATTGAATTTGAATTCTGAAGTTGTAGTGAATTCCCATGTAACACAGAGGTCCTTAACTGGAGACTGAACCTGGCTATGGTCTTTGGGGGGGTCCCAGGATCCCTGGAAATGTGTGGGATTGGTTTGTGCATTTATCTGGAGTGTTGATTGTTTCATCACATCTTAACATGAGCCCATGATCCAAAGTGTTATGAATCCCTGCATAAAACATCTAAAAGTTCTTATTCAAAGCTCCAAATAATTCTGCTGTATTCTGTTAAAAGCAGCCTACTCTGGGGCTCTGCATTTCAGGGTGCCTAGTTCAGTACATCAGTCCTCTAGGTGGCAGCAAAACCCTCAAATGCACTTCTGGTTTCTGAATTTTCTTATCACATTTTTTTTTTTTAATGCCAAGGATGGAACCCAAACCTGGAGCTTCTTTCAGCTCTGTCAGTGGTCCATCTCACCATGAGCTAACTCTATTGAAGTGCCCTGTGACCACCTGGCGAGAGGGGAAGGTGGCTTGGACCAGGTGGTCACAGGGCAGATGATGAGAATTCATTGATTTAGGAATAGATTTAAAAATTGGGCCAACCGGATTTACAGAAAGATTGGATGTGGTGTGTAAGAGGGAAGAGTAAGAATGACTTCAACATTTTTCGTCTGAAGTCTGGATTTGACATTAACTAAGATATGAAAGGCTTCAGGAAAAGCAAGTTTGAGGAGAAAAGTAGGTGTTAACTTTTGAGCAAATTGCATTTGAGATGCTGAGGATTGCAGCTGGATATATGAGGATGGAGCTCAGAGGAGAACTCCCAGCAGGAGATAAAAATGTGGGAGTCCCTGGTATATAGGTGGCATTTAAAGCCCCGAGACAGGGTGAGCTCACGAAGGGAGTGAGTGTAGTGGTGGTCTAAGGACTGCACTCAGGGGCACTCCAAGGTCAAGAGAGTGGGAAGATGAAGACGAACCAGCAAAGGAGACTGAGAAGGTCCATCCAAAAGGAGGACAACCCGAAGGGTGTGGCTGAGAAAAGTATTACTAAGAGGAGGAAGCGATGGGCTGGGTCAGATGCTGCTGAAAGGTCAGGTAGAATTAAGAACTGAAAATTGGACAACAAAAAACCAAATAACCCAACTGGAAAATGGTCAGAAGAACTAAATAGACATTTCTCCAAAGCAGACTTAACAACAAGATGGCCAAGAGGCACATGGAAAGATGCTCAGTATCACTAATTATTAGGGAAATGAAAATCAAAAGTACAGTGAGGTACCACCTCACACTGGTCAGAATGACTACCATTAAAAAGTCTACAAATAACGAATGCTGGAGAGGGTGTGGAGAGAAGGGAACCCCCCCCCACACTGTTGGTGGGAATGTAAATTGCTGCAGCCACTATGGAAAACAGTATGGAGGTTCCTCAGAAAACTAAAAATAGAGCTACCATATGATCCAGCAATTCCACTCCTGGGGATATATCTGGAGAAAACGCTAATTCAGAAAGACACATGCACCCGTATGTTCATAGCAGCACTATTCACAATAGCCAAGACATTGAAACAATCTAAATGTCCATCAACAGATGAATGGATAAAGAAGATGCGGTACATATATACAATGGTATACTACTCAGCCATAAAGAAGAATGAAATAATGCCATTTGGAGCAACACAGATGCAACTAGAGATCATCACACTAAGTGAAGTAAGTCAGAAGGAGAAAGACAAATACCATACGATACCACTTATACGTGGAATCTAAAATATGACACAATGAAGTTATCTGCAAAACAGAAACAGACTCACAGAGGTGGAGAACAGACTTGTGGTTGCCAAGGGGGAGGGGGATGGGGGAGGGACGGACTGGGAGTTTGGGATTAGCAGATGCAAACTATATACAGGATGGATAAACAACAAGGTCCTACTGTATAGCACACGGAACTATGTTCAATATCCTGTGATAAACCATAATGGAAAAGAATATGAAAAATAATGTATATATATATATATATATATGTATAACAGAATCACTTTGCTGTACAGCAGAAATTAACACAACATTGTAAATCAACTAGACTTCAATAAATTTTTTTTTAATGACTAGGACCTAAAAAAAAAAAAGAACTGAAAATTGGGCATTGGGTGTAGGAGTGTAGAGGTCTTTGATGACCTCCACCAGAGTATTTCTTGGAGGGCCTGGGACAAAAGTCTGGTGGGAGGGGGCTCGCAGGAGAAGGGGAAGAGAGACACAGTCAGCACATCAGACAGATCATCGGAGGAAGTTTTCTGGGGATGGAAACAAACTTGTGGGAGAGTAGCTGGAGGGAGGGGTGAGGTTAAAAGAATATTTAACCTAAATAAATAAATAAATAAATAAATAAAATGTTTGTCAGATGGGAGAAAGATGTGCTGTTGGGAGAGCAGGGAGCTGATGAACCAGCAGAGTGAGGAGCAAGTGCCGGGTGGGAGGTGCACCGGAGCGGGGATTGGGGAGGGGAGGACCGAGGCGGGACCCCAGGACTGTTCATCCATCCCCACCGGTGGGGAGGCCTGTCTGGACGCAGGTGTACAGAGATGTGCGGGATGTGGAAGTTCCCCCTTGGATGCGTCCGGTTCTCAGCAAGGTCAGCGGCTGAGGCTGAGGAAGGGGAAGGAAGTGCTGGAGGTCTGAGGACGGAGAAGGAAGGAAATAGCTTTCTGGGAGAGGAAGGGGGAGAGAAACACAGTTGGGTTTCTGGGGAACCACGTCAGCCCACTGCTCCTCCCCCAAGATGGGCCCCGAGGGGTCATTCCCTCTCCATGACCCCCACCCTTCATCCACCAGCCTCAGAGTCCCTGGAGCCCTGGGGTCCTCCTGGCATCTCTACTTGACCCCCAGCCTGTCCTTGAGGATCTGAGGGCATTAGATCCTCCCAGAGACTCTGAAACTGCCTTGGGGTGGCCTGTGCTCCCTCTGCAGAGAGACCTCAGTGACTCCCTAGTTGTTGAACTGGGGCCTGTCGGTGGGGGGCTGGGGCCCCCAGAGGGTCCTGGGAATGAGGACAGGAAGGGGGTGGGGCTGACCCTGGAGTCCCCACCTCATGAAACCTTTCCCTTACACCTGCCCTGTGGTCTCTAAAGTCGTCAGGTTCCAGATTCCAGGTGAGGTGAGAAGGTGTGGGGGGGGATGGGAGGGCCTCTGAGGGGCAGATGCCCCTCTGGGTGACCCTCCCTCACAGCCCCCTCACTCAACCCCAGCCAGAGTGCTCAGGAGACAGAGCCCTGAGCTGACTGAGTCAGAGAGGACAGGGTCAGGGTCCCTCACCTGAGACCGTGAGCTCCAGGGGGGCACTGGCGTGTGACAGCAGGTAGGGGTTACTGCTGAGTGAGCTGTAGCACCTGTAGGTCCCACTGTGGGCTGAGGTCACGGGACTCATGGAGAATTCGGCCTGGTAATGCCCACCTCGGTACTTTGATCTAAGACGCAGTGGGGGCCGGGCTGCCCCCTCCTTGGACAGAAGGAAAGTATCCCTTGTGCTCAGTGACTGACACAGCAGGGTCACGTTCTCTCCTGAGGCCACCACGGGGCCTGGCTGCACCGAGAGGGAGGGCGTGTCAGGGAACCACCCTAAAGAGAGGAAGTGGGGTGAGGGGCTGCCCCCCCCCCCCCCCCCCCCCGCTATATATATATATATATATATATATATATATATATGTATAACAATCACTTTGCTGTACGGCGGAAATTAACACAACATTGTAAATCAACAAGACTTCAATAAAATTTTTTTTTAATGACTAGGACCTAAAAAAAAAAAAGGAAAGAACTGAAAATTGGGCATTGGGTGTACGAGTGTAGAGGTACAGGACCAGTATTTTATTACCAGGTCCAACATTTTCTGCCTTTACTCTTATTAATCGTTTTCTTCCACTTACAGTCTTCTGGCTTCTAGAGTTGAAAACTTGATTCCTTTATTTTTAGGGCTTGTTTTTCTTGTTTCCAAATAAATTCACATACAGTGATCAATTTTCCTGAGTCCTCCTTTGTCAACCTCCCCCAGGCTTTGACAGATAACTCTCATGTTGCCGGTTATTTCTGTAGAGAGTGGATAATTTTAATGTTCCTTTCCTTTCTCCCCCGTGACCTGAATCATTTTTGTAACATCATGTTGTGGTTAATTTCTAATTTTATTGCATTAGGGTCAGTGTGATTGTTGATTTTGGAACTTTTTGAGATTTTTTTCTTTGTGGCCTAATATTTATGAATGGAATATTTCCCAATGTAGAAATCACATAGATATTTCTATTTAATATAGCACTGTAAACTCATCCCTCAAATATAGCAAAGAAATATAAAAATAACAAAATTTAAGTATGTATCCAGCCTCAAAGACATTGACGCATCTCCATGGACTAGAGGGGGGCAGAGATGCAAAGTGGGCTGCGGGCTTGAAGCCGCTGGACTGCTGGGCCGCTGTCTGAAATCAGGCAGTGGAGGCTGGGGGCTCGACTCGTGGGCAATAAGAACTGAAACGGCCTCATGAGAGATGGGGCTGTAGGGCCTGAGGGGGGGATTCCTGGCTCCTGAAATGGTGCTAAGAAAAGCTGCAGCCGATACCTGTCCAGGGTTACAGTTTGTGAAGCAGCCATTCAGGGACCGGGGAGGACAGGGGACTGAGCTAAGCCAGCCTCTGGTTTGGTGACAGGATCTGCAGTACCTTTAATACCCCAGCTAACACCTGGACTCGGGGTCTGGACTGTGGGTCCCACAGGGCCAGTGCCAGGACCTGTAACTGTGCCAGGCAGGGAGGGAGCAAGGCTGTTCAGCTGAAATAGATCTGCACGTGGAAACTCCAATGACAATCCAAAGACAAGCACCCCATAGGAAGCGTGGCCACACCTCTCGCTTTCCCAGAGATAATCCCAGGTTACAATGCGAGTCCCAGCATCACGTTAATATCACCCTCTTTCACGCTCATAGTATCCAGGTTTGGACAGTCAACGATATGGTCCCCTGACACAGGTGAAATTAAAATAATAGAAGGGGCTGAGAAAGGGTCGAAACTGGATCTGGCTTAGACATGGTGAAATAAAGTTGGAATTTCCCAGTCCTCTTTCAGAAATTATGCAAGAGTAAGGAGGAATATGAGACAGAAGCAGAAACACCATTTTTAATAAAGCTAGGAGACAGGTGTTAATTCCAAAACAGGTGAGGGCTGACAGAAGTCAAACAGGAGGAACTTGGATCTCTTGGGAAGAGCCAGCCAAGTTTACTACCAAGGTGAGGGCAGACCTTGGCACTTTCCAGGAACAGTGGGAAAAGGGTGCTTGTGCACCCAAGAATTAGACTGAAATAAAGTATTAAAACAAATATTTAAAGATTTAAGAAAAATGATCAGATAAAAAGAAGAGCTGAATCCATAGAGTCAATCCACTCTGTCCCAGGAAACACAGGCACAGAAGGATAACCCCAAAATGTTCAACAATGAGGTTTATGGATTTCATAGGGGCAGCAAGGCAATTAAATCACATATGAGGAAAAAGAAATCAGGCTGGTTTCAGACTTCATTATGGCAACATTCAGTGATAGGAGATAAGGAAGCAATATCTACATCCTCAAGAAAAAAAATGTCACCCAAGAATTTTATAGTCTGTCAAACTCTTTTTCAGGATAAAGGCAACAAACATTTTTGAACATGAAAAGCTCATCAGAGACTATCATTTCCATAAATTCTTCTTGAAGAAACTACTGAAGCAGGATCTTCACAAGATGAGATCACAAGGTGAAATCTAAAACAAAATGATCCAGGGGAAACGCTTTGGTGAAAGGGATTCTGAACCTGTTTAACTGTAGGACTGGGACGAAAACAAATGTGGGGATTATGGTCACAGCAGAACGGATGATTTTACAAACCCAGTAATGTGGGAATGGTAGAATTAACAAAAATAGGGATGGAAAGGGAAAGAAAAGAGGGGGCATTTAAGCTCACTGGTTTCCTCATCTGTTATACACAGGGATTGAAATATCTCATTTAAAACTGATTAAAAAATCAAGTAACAGAGGTATGTATAAACATCTTTAATAAAAAAAAACAAACACTAAAGAAAGATGAAATCATTTGACATTGAGTGCAGAGAAGGAGAAGGGGTAAAGAAAAAAGAGGAAAAGTGCTGTGTTTCATTGTTCAGAATGGGGTCAACGGAAACAGTCTGGAGAAACAGAGTATCCTGTCAAGTTATCTTGTAAAGGCAGCTGCTTGAATAAACATGCAAACCTTCCAAATGATCAGGAGAAACACACCTAGAACAAAGGCAAAGCAAACACAAAGCACGCAATATAAGAATAAAGAAGGACTAAAAAGGCTGAAAACGTGGCATAAAATAACTCACATTCATGTTAGGGCTAAACTCATCTATTCCAAGAAAAGAGACTTTCAGATTGAATCACAAAGCAAAACTTGGTGCCCTATTCAAGGGATTTACTTAAGACAAAGGCTTCAGAAAAGATGAAAATAAAAGTGCCAAGGGATATTGGGTTAAAGCAAGCAAAATTCATCCGGCTTGTCATCATAGCAGACAAGGTTAAACTCAGGGCAAAGGTCAAAAGGTTAAATGAGACAAGGAAGGTCACTTTATAATGAAAAGAGGGATATATAATATAAGAGGGCTTTTTGTGCAGAAATACCATAGCATTGTCATTTATAAAGTAGGGCTCCAGAGAAATAAGAAACACAGTAGTAGTAAAAGATTTTAATTTACTTCTCTCAGATTACATCAGGTCAAAATACATCTAAGGATATGGAAGACCTATATAATATAGTTAATAAGTTGTATCTCATTGATACATATCAAGATCCTTAGGGCAAAAACAGAGACTATGCATTTTCCTTGAGTGCCCTTAAAACATTCACAAAAATTGACCCTATTTAGGCTGCAAATGAAAACTCAAATATTAAAAATATATAAAGTAGTACAGGCAACATTGATTTCTGATCTCTGATCACAATGAAATAAAACTAAACATTAATAACAAAATCAGAAACAAAAGATCCTAACGCCTGGAATTTTAAAAACTCTCATACTCTTGCTTCAGATTAAAAAACTCGACATCAGTGGTGGTCATTTTGTAATATATAAAAATACTTAATCACTATGTTTTACACATGAAACTAATATAATATTGTAAGTCAGCTTTACTTCAATTAAAAAAACATTCTACATCAACAATAAGTCAAAACCAAAATTTTAAAATATTTACAAAATAGCAATCATGGAGATACATCAGAAATTATGGGCTATATCTAAGATAGTACATATCTGTATCTAAAGGCTGGGACTTAACCTTAAACACTTACATTTACAAAAAGAATTGAAAAATTAAGCATCCAATTCAAGAGGTTAGAAAAAGAGCAACAAAAATACCACTGAAGAAATTTAAAAAAAATAAACTAGTAAAGATAAAAGCAGAAATTAATGAATTAGGAAACAATAGTAACAAAAAATGATAGAACTAAAAAATAAATCTAAGAGCTGATTCTTTGAAAAGAAAAATACAATTTTAAACTGTAACATAAGAAAGCGAAAGTATACAAAATAAGAAATTAGGGGGAAGTTAAAAAGTTCCCAAGAGAGGGACTTCCCTGGTGGCACGATGGTTAAGAATCTGCCTGCCAATGCAGGGGACACAGGTTCAAGCCGTGGTCTGGGAAACAACTACCAAGCTTGCACTCTAGAGCCTGCGAGCCACAACTACTGAGCCTGTGTGTGACAACTGCCGAAGCCCCTGTGCCCTAGAGCCCGTGCTCCGCAACAAGAGAAGCCACCGCAATGAGAAGCCCGTGCACCACAACGAACAGTAGCCCCCGCGCGCCGCAACTAGAGAAAGCCTGCGCGCAGCAACGGAGACACAACGCAGCCAAAAAATAAATTTATTTTAAAAAAAAGTTCCCAAGAGAATGCTTTGCTCCGCTTTACGGAAATACACTTGGAAATCTGGATGAACTGGACAATTTGTTTTGAGGAAACTATAATTTATCAAAAGTAACTCTATAAGAGTTTTAAAAATCTAAATTGTGAAATTACCACAGAAGAAATAAAGAAGCTTGTTAAAGAGTTCTTCATCCCGAGGAAAGCATCAGGCCTACACAGTTTCACCTAGACAGTGATCAGGCCGCAGAGAACGGAAAAATTTCATGCTACTTCAATTGTTCCAGAGTGAAAGCAAAGAACAAAAGCTTCCAAATGTTGATCAAAACCTTGATTCTGAAAACCAGACAGTATTGGACATTCAAAAAGAAAATTATAGCCCACTCTCACTTTTGAATATCAGTGTAAAAATCCTAAAGTATTAGCAAACCGAATCAAGCCCCAATTAAAAAAAATATATGATAGTAAGATTATTCCAGGAATGAAATAGGTTTTTTATTAGGAATTTATTGTAAGTAAGACTCACCATTTCAGGGTTAGGAACTCTGCTGTCACAGGACTTGCTGAGATTACAGACACTGCCAGGATGAATGTCTTCCCCTCCCCCTCCCCTCCCCCCTCCCCCTCTGGTAGCCACACATCTCATCTCTTTTTCTGTGAGTCAGTTGTTTTCTTGTTGTGTTTTTTAGATTCCACATATAAGTGAGATCATGCAGTATTTGTCTTTTTCTGGCGAATGTTACTTTAAACACTTTTAGTCACATAAGCAGCTGGACATTTCCTGTTGCCTTAGGACCCAGGACTGAGTTTTCAGTGAGATATGGAGCAAAAGAAACATGAATCTGCAAGTCACAGAGATTTGGAGCCTTGAGAGTAAATGACCATCAAGACCAGAGAGCCGAGGACAAGTTTCCTTGGCGTCTCCCCCTCCCCCATGTCTCCCCCCTGCCACCTGCAAATTCTCTGGTCTTAAGGCTCAATCAACTTCCAAGATATAAGACATGACCCCACCCCTACGTCCCCCCATGCTCTGTATTTCTTGCTCCTGATCTAGCTCTCCCCTGCTCCCCTCTCCTCGCTCACGCCTCGGCAAACCCACCTCCCAAACCCTTCCCATCCCAACCCAGAATCCCCTGGAATATCTGCCCCACAATCTGCAAATCCCTCTTTATCCTCAAGCACTCCGGGTGGCTCCACTTTTCCGCCTCTGCCTTGATGGAAACACTGACCATCCTGAGAACACCTAAGGACACCTGAGCCTGCTCTTCTCTACAGGGCCAGCCCACACCTCCCCCGGCACTCTTTTTTTTTTTTTTTGTGCGGTACGCGGGCCTCTCACTGTTGTGGCCTCTCCCGTTGCGGAGCACAGGCTCCGGACACGCAGGCTCAGCGGCCATGGCTCAGGGGCCCAGCCGCTCCGCAGCATGTGGGATCTTCCCGGACTGGGGCACGAACCCATGTCCCCTGTATCGGCAGGCGGACTCACTCTCAACCACTGTGCAACCAGGGAAGCCCCTCCCCCGGCACTCTTGTCCAAGCCTTCAACCGTTTGCCTTTACCACCCTCTCCCCTCCCCTTCCTGATATCTCTCTACTTTCTTGCCGTGTGTGTCAGTGGTTTCCGCATCCACGTACGTAACCTTGGTCTCTCATTTACTCCACTCCTCCGTCCCAACCGCAGGCTGTGCAATTGACATAATGGTACTCAGGGACCCTGCCTCTCCCCCACCTTAGACATCCATCCTCACATCCTGACCTGGGCCTCCGTGACCATCCTATTCCCTTACCAGAAGCTCCTCTCTAGCTTGGTTTTTCAATGACTCCAGTAAGATAAATAAATCACTGACCTCCATTAGAACTTCCAATCTGTCTGACCCACTACTTTCTTCAGCCATTCAGCTTTCTCCCTCCTACTTCTTTTCTTGCTCAGCTTAGATTCAGCATCACACACACACACACACACACACACACACACGCACACCTGTCTGTCCTCACAGACGACTTCCTCTCTTCTTTTCTCAGGGCTTCTCAGCTTCAGCACTTTCGGCATTTGGGCCAGATCTTTCTTTGTTGCGGGGCCGTCCTGTGCCAACATTATATGCTGCAGCGTCCCTGGCCTCTACCCACTAGATGGCGGTGGCATCCCCAGTGTGACAACCACAGTGCATCCAGACGCAGCAAGTTCTCCTGGGTGCGAGTGGGGGGAAGGTGTGGGGACATATGGCCCCTGAGAACCTCTAGCCCTGGCTCATCCCTCTACTTGCCCTCAGACTCTGCCTGCCCGCTCACATATGTACAACTTCTTAGGAATCATACAGTGTGAGCTATCTTGTTCTTTCCTGTGTAGCCCACAGCCCCTCTTAACTGAATTCTTGTCATAAATACTTCAACATCTTTAAACAACCCTCCCTCAGGAACACTTCCAGGGAACTCTTACACCTTACACCGGTACCTGTTCTTCCCCTCCCCTCACGTCTTGACGGGTTGGTATTTTCCTTGCTCCCTTCCTTTCTCCTCTTCCGATCCTCCCTCAAGTATGACTAAGTGTCCTGCCATTCGGCCCCTTCGGCTTCCGCTAAGGTCTTCGGTGACTTCCGCGTCGATGAATGCAGTGGACACGAGGCGCACTGGAGCAGAACCAGAAGGGGGTAGTGGGGATCCCGAGTCTGGCGTTGACCCTGATGAGTCTGAGTGTCTCAGAGGCATCCTCGAGGACATGTTGGGTGGAAACTGAGACTTGCCGGCGGGAGGGAGAGGGGCGGTCTGGGCCGGCAGTGCACCTGGGGACGTATGGGTGTGCGTGTGCTATGTGTGTAACTGATGCCATAGGTGAGATGAGGTCCCTTGGCGGGGGTGGGGGTGGGGGGGTCGGGGGGGTGTAGAGCAGTTGTTC